ATAAATGTTATTAGTTAGTAATATATTATATGAACGAGATGTTGAATTTTAAAATTATAGACTATGAATAGGCTTTGAAATAATTTTTGTCAATGAAATTGGATTAAAGTGACATAACTTATTATATCTATAACTTTTTTAAATATTTATTCATTTTGATAAATTAAAAAAAATATTATTTATAATATCTCAATTTAATAGTATACAATTATTAAAAGAAATATTACCTATAAAAAGATAAATTTTCAATGAGAATACATCGTCTAAATAACTACTGGGTTATCATGAAAAAAAAAAAACTAAGTTCAATCATTGTTGACAGCTCATTCCAATTGCAGCTGCTTCGAAATATCTGCCAAACGACAATTACTTTGTTGTAGGGAATGGTTCAATAATTTCTCAAACAAAACATGTCTTAAATATGCCAAAAAAAATTATAGACTTATGAATAGTTTGATACGTCTAAACAAAAACTTAGTGGTAAAAAAGTAATTTTTCCCATAGTTACAGAGATATAGAAAATTTTATGTATTTCATTTTTATTATATTTTATTTGTCTTTTGCTATCGGTTAATCACTTTATGCACAAGTTCCGGTCTCATTCAAGACGATGTTGTCATTCATCTGCATCCTCATATATTACAAAAAGCCTTAAGATAAACACTTACATGTTGATGAAGATAAGTGAAATATATGGATGTTTGGATGCAATTGAACAATATATCTCATAAGTAAATGTTTCACTATTAGATAATGTGTTTTTATTGTAAGTAATATTTTTGTTTTTGAAAAATAAAAAATAGAATGTGGTCGTTAAATTTATTAAGATTTAGTATAAAATGATGATTAGGTATTGAAAAAAGTTGTGCAACCTTTGCGACTGGTGTCTTGGGTTTGACGGTCCTTTTGATAGCCACCCATCAAATTCCACTTAAGGCTGCTATTGCATTTATGTTACAAGTAATTACAGCTCCTTGTCATTTTCACTGTCATCGATTGTAACGGAATGCCATTACGTGCAGTGTGCTGTTGGCTAGGGCTAAAGAACATTCTTCTGTCTTTCATTGATCCCATTTCATTTCTTATGCCAGAACAATCTTACTAGCTTACGGGGGAAGGTTTGTATTTAATTACTAGACATTATCTTGAAGACTAAATATAAATAATAAATATAGTTGAAATAAACTCTAATCATAATTTTAATACATGAAATGGACTTTAAACCTAATTTAATCTCATAAAACTGATTTATAAAATGAAGTTTAACTCATTTATATATTATAAATTAATTTATCTTTAATTAATACAAGACTTCCAACACTTTTTAAATAACTTTTCCCGTGAGACATGAGCAATTTAATCTTCGTTGTGAGATGGTAAGAGAAGAAGCTAGATTGTGATAGTTCTGTGCGCTTTCGCCGACTATCTTTAGCAGCAGGCTGGACAAGCCAGGACCGGCTCATCATGATGCTATTGGTGCCTCAACCTTAACTTTAGACATTGGATTTGGCTGATACCGAATATTCAATTCCCTGAAAGGAAATAATGAAAAGCGAAATGATATACTGTTGAGAATAGTATATAATTTATTCGTTTTAAACTGTTTGATGCGAAGGGAGATGTCATTTTCTCTTCAACCAGATACTTTGGTTAGGTGCATTACCCTAAATGGAAATTAGTTCCTTAGTGAACATGTACGATTGTATGAATTTTATTTAGTATAATTTGAATGGTTTAGCCTAGCTTAGTGTACTGCAGCAGCATGATGTGTTGTTATTTGACTGAGTAATTAGAATGGACAGGGCATTTCTATGAAAGAAGTTATGTAACTTGGGTAGTTATATGGTGTAGGCATTTCTATCATGGATGTATTTTTCGATGAATGGACGGTGCATTTTAATCTGAAAATATCTTCCAGAATCTGGTATCAACCACTTAAATATGAAGGCGAACCTGCTTCTGGTTATTTAACATAGAAATCTAAGTGAGTTTCAATCTTGTGTAAATATAAAAAAATTGAACATTATATAAAAGTACTTGATCTATTTTATACACAGAAGCAGATGTTCGAAATGTGCTGATTTCTCCTTATGTGGGGGTAAGAGTGCAACATTTCCTAGAGGTTGTAGAGTGATGACAAGGAGATTTGCAGGTTTGAAAAGAGAAATCAAAATAAAAGGAAAAAAATGAGAACTTGATAGAGGGTTTTTAATTTTGCATGCTGTAATGTACTGGTGAGTGTCATAACACCTTTTTCTAGCAGAGTAAAGCGTGAACAAGTAAAGCAGAGGTTATGATATTCACGGACAACTTGTTATAAGATTTGATTAGGACGTGTTATTAATGCCTTAAGCTCGAGCCAACTTCAAAATTGTTTGTATTAATTGTATTTTGTCAATCTCTGTCTGGGCTAGGGCCATTATGACCATCAGTTGCTTGCACGAAACTGCTAGTGATTATGGAGTTATCTTCAAATTATTTTAATCAACATCATCAATATCTTAACAGATATTTAATTTTTCATAGGAGACGTCCAAGGGTCGTCAATTATTGTTCAGCAACGATTTTAGGTTTCACTATAGTTCACATGGTTACATGCATTTCTAAGACTATGTCTAGCAGTTACCAATTCTCCGACATCACCACCTATCACTCCTAAGGCAGACCTTATATTCCGTTCCTTCATTAAATGTTGATGCGACCATCACGATCATCTCCTTACAGGATAAGATCTATTCAAAAATAGTATATAACGTCACGCGTTCAACGTCGAACCACTCAATAGTCAATGTTAAATAACATTTTTATAAATAAATACAATTATTAAACGTCTTTTAGAATTGTAATTCGACATAAAAGGATATAAAACGTCGAATGTCCAGCGTCAAAATTAGTGAATTCAATAAAAATTTGAGCGGGAGATTGAAAATTCATTCACTTTATCTTAGCGTGCGAGACTCTCTTCTTTTCTCAAACTTTTCTCTAACGAAGTTTGACGACCATCACATGTAATTTTTCTTTCATTTGATACAAATGCATGTTAATTTACTACTTTAGGTATGATTTTTGTTTGTTTTGACAAATTATTTTCGTGTTGTTGTTCTTCATAGGCACATTGTGCTTTCTCTCTCACGTGTGACAACACTTTATTCCGATGAACCAACGTTAGTTTTTGTTTTCGTTTTGAAGAACTTATTTGTTAAATTTGTTTCTTGTTATTTTTTGTTGAACTTGTTTGTTGTTATTGTTTGGGTGAACTTGTTTGTTGTTGTTGTTTGATTGAACTTGTTTGTTGTTTGATTGGACTTGTTTGTTGTTTGTTATTGTTGTTTGTTGTTGATACTATATTACACGTTCATAGTTCATGCTTTACAAAATACCAAAAATTGAAATTTGTTGTTTTTTTCATTTTCAGATCTCGTAGGTTGTAAAAAGATCACAATTAATTTAAAAAATAAAAAAAATTGATTACTGTTGTTTATTGATAAAATTTGACGTCAATTTAACGTCTCCCAATATGACGTCGTTCTCGAATTCGACGTGAAAGACCCAAAATATTTGACGTTGTACGCTATTTTTGTACTATTGATTATACTACATTTATAGTTTTTTCAATTTCATATAATTCTACATCAAATTTTCAAGATTAACATAGTAATGTTAATTCAAATTAGAATCAATAGTTTAATTATACCTATTAAAATATAGTTTGTTAATTCAAGAGTTGTTAATTTAACCATGGTCTATGGATCGATTCTAATTTATTTTTGAAAAAGTCTCCTATTAAAAGACACTAAATAAGAGAGCAAAAAAAAGGTTTACTTAAAATGGGTTAGAGTTGTTCGGAATCTAAGTGTGAGTTTAAGTCCTACATTGGGTAGAAATGAAAAAATAGAGCACTATATAAGGTTAAAGATCCATCAACCCATTGCCTTAAGGTTTTAGGTGGAGAATGGTGTTAATCTCTTATATGGTTGGACTCATATTTGATTGGTGTTTGTATCTCCTTAGTGGAACTCCTTCTCAATGGATCCAACAATGGTATTAGATATCGAGTCAATGATTCGTCTTGATGACTGGTTTAGGCAAGTACAGATCGAAATAAATAAACCCAAATCAAAAATCGGTTTGAGCATAAGTTTTATTTTCATACTAATTTTATACATCCAATAATTTATTTTAAAAAAATTAATGTTTTTCATCTTTAATAAAAAAGACATGTTTTATAGGATTTTTGTGAACATGTTGATCATCCGGAATGAGTTAAATTGATAGTTCTATTTAATTAAGTATTAATATTATTATATTATCATAAAGGGTTTTTAATTAGTTGTGTACAAAAGGAAAAAGTTGTGAATCCATATTTTTCCTTTCTGAGTGCACAACAAGATGTTAAATTCCAATTCACTTATTATTTTCGAAAATACATTATTATTTTGTATTTCTCCATGTTTCTTTACTTGAAGCTATTTTATTATTTTGAACAGAAAATATGTTCTGTAAGAAAACGAAAGAGCAATAGGAAAAAAAGAAAAAGAAAATGCACACCTATGATAATACAATCCTGCAAAGAAGTTTGTGTTATCATTTTTAAAGTAAAAAGGTTAGAAGTTAGTCAATTATTATTATGCCTCGTAATAATTAATAGAGTATAAGCCATAGAAATAGAAAGGCAAATTTCTTCCACACAAAATACAAAGACCCAAGTGCATGAAGTGGTTTGTTAGGAACAATGTGTAAATAGTATACAAGATAGAAAAGGATGCAACCAAGTAGACAAGTTCTCATCATATACTTATTTTGGGGATAAAATTTTTCATTTCCCAAATTTCGAGTAATTGATATATATACAGTGGACAAGATTGCAGTAGATTGGAGGGCAAAAGTCTAAAGAAAACAACTACAATATACACACTCGAACTTCTTCAGGCCATTAATGTCTTGACGCACCAGTATATATTTCAGAAAGTTCATTCCGAAATAAGTGAGAGGTGACCCAAAAAATTAACGAGGTACAGCAAGACATATCACAATATAAACAGAAGGAATTATATACCATTCCATTGATTCTTTGTCATTCTTGAGTATGTGGAGGTTTGGTGGCAAGGCGGCCAGAGGCATGAAGAGCAATGAAGTTTTTGTACCAAGAAGCAGACATTCTTGGAGTTCTGTCGAGAGTATCATAGTCCACACGATGAAGTCCAAACCTTATTGACGATCCATGTGTCCACTCAAAGTTGTCAAGAAAAGACCACAAAAAGTACCCTCTAACATCTGCTCCTTTCCTGTTCATGCAACAAACAATTTCTTAACCAACAGGGGTTGTCATGCTTTGCTTTCTAATATTACTTATTTTATAATTTTGTATCAAGACAAAGAATTTTTTTTTTGCAAGTTTGGTGTGTATATATACTTTTCAAAGTAAGATGGGCATATCAACACCTTATTGCTGTTGCCAAGGAATCCAAGTAAGCACGCAAGTACTCCACTCTTTCCACGTCATTGATCATTTCTTTAGTGGTGAGGTTGGGGTTCTCTTTCATCCCAATTCCTATGCAAGACAATGTATACAATTCAAAATCACTATTTCCAAAACTAGTTTTACTCAGTTATTCTCCATGTATCTGTACTCACCATTTTCAGTAATGAACATTGGTATATTGTTGAACCTCTCCTTAATGTAAGTGACAATCTTCTCCATGCCTTGTGGGTAAACATACAACCACTCAAGTGTAGTCTGCATCCATGAACTCCATATGATTAACATTATTTTCGAAATTGAAGGTGCATGATCTTCGATCTAGAAAAGCTATATACACACCGGTTCTCCAATGCTAATGCCATTCATTTTAGGCGATGTTAGAGCAAAACCTTCTGTCCTTGTGGACCCGTCTCCCGGTTCACACACTGAGTGGATGCAGTCCTTTACAAAGTAACTAGTATAGTGGTTTACTCCAATGAAATCTATTGCAGGCTTCAGTTTTCCCAGCTTATATGGGAGTGGTGGGAGATATTCTCCCAATATTTCACGCATCTCCCTTGGATACTCCCCTAGGATAAGTGGGTCCAAAAACCTGCATGTGTCACGAGCGTAATTTTGAAGAGGTCATGCATGCATCAAATCTCAAAATTTAATAAAGGCATTTACCAATTCATGTAAAATGATTGAGCTCGCTCCGCAGCTTTCTTGTCTTCTGAGGAGTTGCTGATGGGTTCAAACCATTTAGTATTCATGGTAACACCAATTCTCCCTCCTTGAGTTTTCTGCCATTCAAACCTTTCTCGTAAGATTGCTCATATCTGGACACCTAAACTCTTAGTTCACACTCACTAAGTAACCTTAAAAACATAATTATAATATGTAATTCTACAAGTATATATTATTATACTTTTTCCGTTCTTTATAGATGTCATTCTCTGTAACTGGCAAACAGCTCATTAACCAACTATTTTTCATAAAGATCACACGCTCGTAAGGCATGGGAAAATACTAATAATTGGTCGTTGGAAATTACTGAGTTTGATAGCAAAGTCGAGATATTAATGATGTTACACTAACCAAAGTATATGAAAGATGATTTTGGCAACTCTTGTCTTACCTGATATTTGGTTCTGTAGAGATGAACAGCAGTGGCATGGGATAAGAGAAGGTTAGAACCTGCAATTAAAGGTTCCCTTTCTGAGTCCCCACCGCAGGTGCAATTCCCAAATGAACCAGAACAACGACCAGGAGGCCATAACCCTTTTCTATAGCCACAAATAAATGCAACATTTGGTTCATTAAATGTGATCCAGTATTTCACTCTGTCACCGAAGTTCTTGAAGCATATGTCTGCATAATACTTGAAATCCTTCCTACAGAAATCAACCTGTATTTGTGACAATATTCTTTTATTATACTTTTATTATGTGTTCATATATATCAGAAGTACTTACTCAATCTCAGGACTTAGCCAACCTTCATATCTTTGCTGAAGTTCTTGAGGAATATCATAATGTGATATTGTGACAAAAGGTTCTATTCCTAAATCAAAACCAGAAAAGGAAGTGTGTTAGAGATAGAAAAAACTATAGAATTAATGATATAGAAAAAATGAAACCTCTTGAGAGAAGTGTGTCAATTAGACTGTTATAGTAATCAATGCCAGCCCAATTCACTTTGCCGAATCTCCCCTCTGGATCAAATTTATAATGCAATAGTCAGAGATAGAAAAAGTAAATGCATTTTGTTATATTTAAGAATTCAAAATTATTACAGCCTTAACTTTTCAAAATAATTAAATTAACTAATGTTTTCAGCTTTTGATGTAACCTTAATTATTGTATTTATATTTTATTTTCAAAGAAGTTACATCAGTTCAATACTTGTATTTTCAACTGATAATAAAACCGATGTATTTACTTAAGTTCACAATTATGATATGTGAGGATGAAATTGTAGAATTAAAATTTAAAATAAAAATTAAACATTGAATAGTTTACATGAAAAGTGTAATTAATATTTTAATTAAAAAGAAAACTTACTGGGCAGAATTCTGGCCCATGATATTGAGAAGCGATAACTGTTGACTCCAATGTCCTCCATAAGATCCACATCTTCCTGTTTTTCAAGTCACATATCCATCAAACAATTAGTTGGAGACCATCCATATACTTTCTTTCTGCACCTCATATGAAAAAAACTCTAAGTTGTTTTTTTTAATTATACAATTTAAAAATTAAAAATGACTTCTGACTTATTTCATTTATAGGTAAAAAATGATTCATTGTGTAATTAGAAAGTCATTTTATTTTTTAAAAAAATTCCTGGAATGTACGATCTGAAAGTAACAGACAATTTTTTATTATATATTATAAAAAATAAATAACTTTCGAAAATTATATTCTGAAAGCCATTTTTTTTTAAATCAAACAATCCAAAAATAAATAAAATATAATTTTTCTATATAAAGTATAGGAGAAAACATATGGAGGTGGAAGAAAGTGTCTTAGTAGGATTGTATCACTAAAATTAAGGTAGACAAAAATAGTATGCCCATCTTTGAACAGTTAATCTTAATTTCTTTTATTAATAGTACATTATTTACTTATAAAAACACCCTTAGTCAAATATGTGTGACTGTAGAACTTACGACCAGAACAACCTTTTCAGTCACTAAGTTAAATGTTGAATGCCTCTAAATTTATATTTTACTTCAGGACTTGTCCAATGGACTCAAGCAAACAAGGCTCAAACTATATATATAACCACAAAAAACTCAAATTATAAGTTATATTAAAGGTTATACATTCGATATTTTCCAATTTTATATTTTTTTATTAAATTGAGAAAATTAATATTTTTATATATTAAGTTACTATGTTATAATTTTTAATTAGAATTTAATAAGTAAATAGTCGTCATTTAAGTTAAAAATGATCATATGTATAATCTTCTAAATAATATTAAAAATGTTTTATTTTTAAATTAATGTTAATTAAAAAAAATAGGCCGAAGCTGGTTGGCCGCTGTCACCGTCTTACTTTAGACTTAATTAAAGATGCATTGACTAAAAAGGGATATTTGCTGCCACTAATGTCATATAAGATCTCATCTTCCTAGTTTAGAATTTAATATCTACCAACATGCTTCTTTATTGGTCAAAAAATTACAATAATTTCTATTTTTTAAACAAATTAAATTCATTAATACTCCAACTTTATTAAAACATTTGATGTTTATATATTAATACTATCTAAAAAATTATATTTTAAAAGTAATAGTAATTTTAAAAAAATATTTTAATATTAATTTTTTTTAATATAAATAACTTTTTAATAAGTTTCATTATTTTAAAACAAACAATCCCTTTATAAATCACTTCTCTAAAGTTTTTTAACTTTTCTTTAGGATTTCTCATCTCATGTTCTTCTGTTTGAAGATCGGAGACAGCTTGAATGATCCTCATAGTGAGATGTTCAAATCTAATCGATCAGTTTTTCAGATAGAGTAAGTTAATTTTCTGTTCTTTTCTTTAATCAATTTTGTTTTCTATGGATGCTAGTTATCGTTGTTTATTAGTAGTTATAACGATGTATCTTGATTGTGTTTATGTGGATCGTAAGAACATATAAGAATTTTTGTAAGTTGGAACTGTTTTAGATTTTCTAGAGCGGTTTAGTCTTCACTAAGTCAAAAGGAAAGCTAATATCTGTTTATTTAATGTTAAAAAATATGAAATTATGTTTGCTAGGTTGTGAGAATGATGTTTGATTGAATGTTATTATTTGATTTGGTTGGTAATAATTATGTTTGATGCGTGAAGTTGGACTATTGATGAATGTTCTTGTGAATGATTGTGAATTGGTATTGTCTTGAACTTTAAATGATGTTGTTTTGGAGTCTTAACCAGTACACATAAGTTATAGAGTTGATAGTAGTAAATAAAGAGTGTTGATGAGCTAGTTTTCATTCTAAATTAGAATTTTGGTAGATGAATTTCTATAAGAGTAATTTTGGAGCTATAATTGATGTTTTTGAGTTGTTTTTAGATTATTTCAAACATGTCTAGAACTTTAAATAACCATAAACCTAATGTTGAGTTGGTAAATAGTTAATAGGTTGTGTTTAGGTTATTTTTGGTTCATTTTTAGGGGTTTTAATAGGTATAAATCTAAAGGAGCACGTTTGAGACAAAAATGAAGGTTTGAGATCTATTATTATGTCAATTATGTCTTGCTTAGACTCTTAGTTTGTTAAATTATTGTTTATAATGTGTCAAAATCGTTTTAAGTGTTTTTGGATAGTTAAGTTGATTTAGTGCATCTTGTTCTTGACCAAATGCATCTTGTTTCACTTTCTCTTATTTTTTACGGATGAGGTATATTAATACTTCAAAATTTGTTTGAATATTATGATAATTTATACAGCTACGTGATTTGTTGATAAATTTAATATCACAATCAAATAAATAAATTTCTAAATTTGTATGAAATAATTCAAAGGCCCGTAAATTGATAAAGAATTAGACATAATAATTTTTAGTTACTAAAACAAATAAAATTATTTTTTAAAATATTTTGGTAAGAAAATTTAAATATATTTCTCACCAAATAAAAGTTAAAATATTAATGAACACATGAGTTTATATACTAAAATCATTAATAAATAATAACTAATTAGGATATGATTCAAATATAAATACATTTTAATTCATTTTATAAAATTTTACAGATTCCTAAACACTGCCTAGCTAATCCAGTTAAATAATAAATATACTCGAATTCACACTCATATTTATTCAAATATTCATTAAATAATTTTCTTATAAAAGTTTAAAATAAGAAATGTAATAATATTAACAATTAAGTATCAAAAGACATATATTTTTCTATTTTTAATGTCAAATAAAAAATTATAATCATATAAAAGTTAGAATAAAGTATAAAATAACTTAAATATATTATAATCATTTTAAATATAAACAAAAATGAAATATATATATATATATACATATATATATATATATATATATATATATATATATATATATATATATAATATACTTTAAATTTAATATTAATTTAGAGTTTGTTCAATAACTTAATATGAATAGTGAATTCATGAAAAGCATTGTACATTAAACAATCGTAATTAAATTGATTTGAGATGTTAATAAGGAAAGATTATGACACCAGAACATATTCATAGTCTTGAAATATGAAATATTATATATGAAAGAAAATGACATCTTATCTTTAATATGAATCTCAATCATTCCTCTGTATTTTTTCTTTTCTAATATTAAAGTGAACTTATCCATAAAGTGTTATATAGGTCTAGCTCAACCTTCATTTTCTACTGATTAGAATTTATTTCATGCTCAAACTAATTTAATATAAAATCCTTGGGTCAATTTTAAATAAATAAATAAATAAAGATAATTTAGATAAAACCAATGAAAATTCAAAATCTTATTTTAAAATTTATTTCTTATAAACTAACTTTATTATTACATATAAATTATGAACCTACCCCAATTCATTTGATTCAATGTACTAAATAAATCAGACTAAATTTGAACAGTGTTTTTTACCATCCAACCTAATTTTACTGGATCAAGAATAAAATATAAATACAATCAAATTCAGTAAAAATTGCAAAAAAAATATTGCTTTCTCCCTTTCAGTGGTTTGTTATTTGTTAATAGTTATTTAATTAATTTCATAAATAGATAAAGTACAAAAAAAAGAGAGTTGTTGAATTGAACAATTACCAAATTTGTTTAATTTAGGAGTGACATGAAAATGATTGAAAAGACTTAGCTCTATTTTAAGGCTCCCACAACACTCCAAGTGCAGTTGGCACTTGGAGTGAGTGTATTTAACTTATGTAAACATTATTGATATATTTTTCAAAATTAAAATAATTATTTTATTAATTTTATTTATTGTTTCTTTAAATTTAATATTTTCAATTTAGCACTTTTAAAATTAACTACCTTTAAAATTAAAATAATTATTTATAATACAAAATTATTTTAATAAAATAAATAAAAATTATTTACAATAAAATTGTAATATATATATACTTTTATAATTAAATTAAAATTTATTATTTTTTATTAAAAAACACACATGCACATCTATTTTTACAGATAACCTACTAATGAAAATAACACATAGAAAATTCGATTCATCGTAATCAAATAAAAATTAATATGATGAAAAAAAGAGTTGATTCATTGATATTATAAACATAATTAGTGTGATTAATTTTTTATATTTTTTCTTTATTTTAATTTACATTTACTTAAAATAATACGTTATAAATATTTTATGATCGATAGAGTTTACTCTATTAGTTTTAATTATTTTTCTTTTGTATTTCTCTCTTTCAACAAAAAATTTCTAACGCCTTTACTTCTACATGTGGATAGTTAATTCCAAATTTAACTTTTAACTTCTATTTCCTTATCACCCCTTCATCTACTATTATTTCAGAAAAACTTTATGATTGAAACTAATATGTCCAATTTATTTTATACTAAAGAAAGTAACATGAAAAGCGATATAGAATAAATGTTACATAAACAAAAACATACTATATATATATATGAACGAATGAAGGAAATAAATAATTTTGACTTCTTGAAAAGGAATAATTAAATAAATATTTATTTTGATTATATTTTTTATCCATATACTTTTAAAATTTGTTTTTTTTTTCGTATTTAGTGTCATAATTTTTAGTTAAATTTTAATTTTGAAAAATACAAGTATCAAAATTAAAATTAAAATCATGAAAGATCCCTATTATTATTTTTTTACATATTTCATAGTGAAAGGTTTACACTGATATTTTATATATAATGAAGAGACGTGGAAGTTTGTTTTTTCAGTTGTATGAAAAAGGGTGAGATAGATTGAGGTAGACTTGGATACATTTATTTAAACAAAAAAGAAAATATATTTTTAGGAAAATTGCTTTGTTAGAATCTTGCAAACGCATCTTCCCAAATAAAACCCAGGATTATTAAAAGTAATAATTATTTGTGTTGATAAGTTTGTTAGAGAAGGAAGGGGAAGAAGTAATAAAATGGTACCTTATAACGATGGTAATGATCATCGGCAACATCGCCGTTACTTCCATCAGTTATAGTTCCTGAAATGTACAACCATATATATACCGTTGGATTTTTTTTCCCAATAAACAATAAGTGTTTTAGAAAATATGGAGTAATAAGAATGTGAACCTGGCTTGTGAGTGAAAACATCCCAGTTATTTAGCCCCTTTCCATCAGTCAAGTAAGCTCCCTCAATCTGCAAAATCATTCGTTATTTGGGAAAATGATTGAGTAGAGAAAAGAAGAGGAAAAGGAAGAGAAAGAACCTGATAGGACGAAGAGGCAGTTCCGAAAAGAAAGTTTGGTGGAAATGGAGACGAAGGTGAATGGTGGTTGTGGTTGAGGGATAGAAAATCAGCAGCAACCCATCCGAAGAGAATGGTGAGAGAGAAGCTTAGTGCAAAGAGTGATAGGAGTGGAAGTTCCATGTTGTATGTTGAGTGTGTTTGAGGGAATGTGGAGTAACAAATACTTAATTGCAAACAAACAAAAACAACCCATACCGACCATAGTGGCTGGATGTCATCAAGGGGAATTGATATTTTCTCAAGGACTATATTTTCGGCTCTCCTCTAATCAGTTGATTTGATTTTATAACAAAAATTTCAAATTAGACCGGAAATTAATTGACTTTTGCTCCGTCCATTTGTAAAAACTCTGTATTAGGAACGATGATAATTTAAAAATAATGAAATTTAATTATTAATATAAATAATTTGAAAATACGGTTAACATTTTTCCAATTACGGTTTTAATTATGAAAAATAAATATTGTTAACATATATTTTTTTATAAGTTTTTTTTAAAATTAATTAAATATTTATTTTATTAAAAAAAATTTAATTATGAAATTTAAATAAATATTTTTTAAATTTAGTTTTTCAATTTAAAATATTAAATTTTTAATATGTTTTTTTTATTATTAATAAATAAAACAAAAAGAAAAAAAAAACCTTAAACGGCATTCGAAAGCCGGTTAAATAAATTTTTTAACTGGTAAATTTCTTAACTGGTTTCCGAACTTGGTATTACGAAGGTGTAGGATGAAGTTTTGAAGGTGCAGATGAAACATTCATGTTGGTATTATTGAATGCGTGACATTAATCTACGATATTATTAAAGATTAAAATAAAAAAAATTGTATTGTTGTATATTGAAGTAAAAGTTAATTTTTTTATTGTATATTAGAAGATGAATGGACAATTAATTTATATAGACAAATTTAATTAAAAGTTAAAATAAGTAAATAGTTTGGTTTAAATATTAATTTTTGGTAATATTAGAGAACTTAATTATAAATAAATACTTAGCTTCAACAGCGAGAGTGGGAAGACGAAACAAATATAAATCTACGTGATTTACAATGATCTTTTGAAGAAGTTTTTCATATAATTTTTGGCCTCAATATGTAAGCACTCCATCCTTCTAAATCTCATTTACATAAAACAGTATTACAAATGCTACAGTTATGACCCCAAAAAGAAAGCAACTTAATTCCTACTGACAAGAAAGCATGATAGCTAATAATGCCATTATCTTCAACAGTGACACTTTGAGCTCCAGTAATGAGTCATTGTTCCCTTGTGTTACATGATAGCTTCAAAATTTCAGCATCACTGTTTGGCCTGTTCACGGAATTAACAGAAACCTGTCAGTTTCTTTCATATATATATATATATATATATATATGACAGTGTCTGATGGATGTATCACTAATTGAGTAGACTGTCAGTTTCTGCTTTCCTATATACAATTTAAATTTTCTACGGAAAGTTCAGGACAGCCACCCAATTCATGTAGAGACGTACATTCAACAAATTAGACAATTAATTTTACAACTGAATGTATTTATATCAGTTAGTTGATAGAGTGCATGCACTATAGTAAACAACTTGATATGTATTAAAATTCTACGTATGAAAAAATATGACTTGTTTGACTTTGTTTTCACAAATCAAATGGTTTAAAATCTTAAACTTTTTAAAGAATAGTGCTGGTTTCCCTCTGTAGAGAGTGTGGAGTTTCTGTGGCCTGTCTTCCTTTTAATTTCCTTACATAAATATAGATATAGACAGCAAAAACAAACAATCAAACGAACAACAATAATATATATGAGCAGATGGAGCAAGTTGGCCATCAGATTCTGAGAGTGAAAAAAAGACAAACTCAGTTTAAATGGAGAGGATTAATGCACCTGTGAATAGAGGAAGGTGCCAAGAATTGCAATGGCAGCACCAAGAGCATTGATGGGCTGAACAGGGGTGTGAAAGATAAGAATAGAAGAGACAATGACCGAAATTCTCTTCATTGTGTTTCCAATGCTGAATGTCAAGGGAGAAATCTGATCGAGAGACATGTAAGAGACTTGATTGTACAAGTGGTAGAAGACACTCTGAGCAGCTACCCACCTGCAAACATAAAAATTCACCACTTTAAAACATTTTCTCAAGAGTTAAAGGCAGAACAATAAGAAAGACAACTTGTTGAACTGATCAAAAGAACATAACAGTTAAAAACTTCAAATACAACACCTTCTATCGAAGACTGTAGATGTACTTACCATACAAAATTTGGACCAATCTGAGACACAGCTGATTGCCAGCCTGCAGCCCAAACCTTGGGGCCTTCCACAGCAATGGCAAAAGGTGTGAGGATCAACAGAGACATTATGGAAAGACAGGCATAGTAGTTCATTCCACTAACAGACATCCCCTTCATTCCTTTCTTTGAGAATATATTCCTGAAGACAAATGCCAAATTGGATATCATAGCCCCCATGAAGCCTGAAACAATCAAATTTGTTAGTTAGAGTGTTGATCACTAACAAAGATTCTATATATGAGAAAGTCAAAAACTTGTTCATCAGTAAGTAATCATACCAATCATATTGAAATTGAGTTCGGTCACAGCAGCTAGCGCACAACCACCAATGATTGGCAACAGTGACAGATAGACCGGCATTGGGAATGCTTCCCCAAGCAAGAACCTTGACACCAGGACACTGAAAGCAGGCTCTCCACTCTTGATGATGTGAGTGAAAGAGACAGCAACCTTGGACATGCTCACAGTTGCAGCCACATGCCCAATTGTGTGTGCCACCGCAACCTGCACCAAAAAAAAAAAATGAAACTGAGTACTACTATATCAACCTTTCAAACTCATTCGCATGGCCACACCATTTGACCACAGAGAATGAATTACTTTATTGAATTCTCTCAAGTAATTTTCCCATCTCTGAGTCAACATTTTACCTTCCCAAATTTAGGTGTCATGACGATTAAGGTTTTCAAAAACTGTCGACAAATTATTATATGGTCCAGATACATTATGTGTCTATGATATTCTCCAATTTTCATATGGTATATATAAAGTTTTTCAATTTACCATGAAACTTTTTCAGAAATATATTAGCCAATCACATCATGAGTATTTCTGTGAAAACGACAAAAATGCAAAAAATATAAAGAAATAAAAAAGGATTATTCTTACAGGAAACAAGGCCTTCCAGAAATCAAAGTTAACTTTGGGGACTTCAGCAACTCTGGTGGCCCAGGAGATTAACATCATGAGGGAGCCGGCAGCAAGGGAGAGAGTGGAGGTGAGCCAGGGGTAAGGAAAAGCATTCAAAACCTTCTTATTGTAGATGTTGAACACCACATTCAAAGCCCACCAGGTGGCAAAATACATCCCAATCTTCGCCCTCTGAGCAGCATCTTCACCCGGCAGCTCAATGTTAATCTCTATGGGGCGTGACCTGTCAGCCTCATAGGCCTGGCACTCCGTCACCCTCTTTCTCTTCACCAATGCCAAGCTTTCTGTGGATGAAAGGTAGAGCGGTTTCTGGGAGCACAACCGAGAGGGACTCGTGCTTTGTTCAACGTTGTTAATGGCTGGTAATGTGAGAACTTGAGGCTTTGCTGGGGGAAGTTTTCTGGTTGAGAAAGAAGAACAGGTGAGCGATGACGCTGAGCATTTCGTTAAGGAGATCATGATGGCTGCTGCTTGAGTTTTCTGAACGTGGGAAAATAGAGAGAGGTTGGTACTATAAAATGATGTGCACTAAGGTGGTTGATGAGCTGGGTTGAATCTTGGGATATCAGAGTTAACAATGGTGAAGTGATTACGAGTGTTGCAAGGAAGGGAGAGGGGTTGGTGAGAAGATGGCAGAGTTGGAAACAGGGTTTTCTGTGAGGAAGAGGCGTTAGAATTGGACATTTATAGAGAATAAAGATGCCATATTTTGTATCAAGTTAACAACTAACGGCGTAGATTTTTACTGAAAAAAAATAATATAATATCTTACAGAGAATTTTCTTTCTAGTTCCAAGATTTTTCAATATCGTGTTCTCTATCATAACTAATTGGTTTTTGCTGATACTGAGTGGTTGGTTTTTACTTTTTCTTCTATCTTTATTTTAAAATTAAATAAATTTAGTTTTTGCCTTGTTATTTTTACTTAGATTTGAGATATGAAATAATTTAAAATCTTTAGATATAATATAATTTAGTTCACGCATAAGATGTAAGATAAGATTTTGATGACAAGAATTTTGGAGTATTTATATATATATA